ACTTTCGATCCACTGCCGGAAAAAGGCATCTTGAAGACTTTGTCATAGACTTCTATGTTTAATAGAGTAAAAATTAACGTCTTGGAGAGGCCTTCATCAAGCAGTGCATTGGTAAACGCAAACGATGAGAGATTCACGGTATTTCACCGTATTAGTGTTCGTTAGATAAATCTCGCTTCTAATGAAATATAGTCTTTCACTTTGGAAAGTGTACAACATGAAGCTAGGCTGACTGGCGAGGGTCTATGACAGGTAACCATGGTAACTTACCGAGTTATCAGTCTTCTGAGCCATCTTCAGTTTCCTCTTCGCGCGTAATTCCTGAAATGTCATAGAAAATCAAAACGTGCACGAAAGAAACAAACACAATGATCGCTACCTGACGCTTTGCCCTCATTCGCTCGCGGTAATTCCTGCGGTCGCTCTTGTTCCGTGCACGCATTCGAGCCATGGCACCTTCAATGTCGAGCACATCCGATTTCTGCACCTTATCAGCGTTGCAATCGTCGTTATCATCGTCCGCCTGACTGACCGATTCCTTGAAATATAAAACTTCATTCTCCCTCATCCCTACTGTAACGCCAGGTAAAATAAAGTTACAGGCAACGGCACGCTGCTGCCAACTTCTGTGGGGTCGAAGATAATCTTTTTGTTTACGGCGAGTTTTTTCCTTATGATCTTTTTGGCGATGGCTTGTCTGGTAAGAACTTTTTTTCGTTTCTTCTTGAAATCAGCAGGAGCGTCGGGTATACTTTTATCCTAAAAGACTTCACAGAATAAATTAATGACAATCTTAGCGCCCTGGTAGCGGAGAGTTGGCAACGTTAAAAATATAAGGTCGCAAAACATGGCGAAATACAACTAACTACATATTGCTGAGTCGCTAAAACAATTATGAAGCCCTCCTATATATTGAAAATGCCAAAAAAAGAAAGAGTAGCAACAATAATAGATAGCGGTACCACTGAGAAAGACAATATGACTAAAAGCCAGTATGAATGGATTTTGCGTCATCGTTCATATAAAACTCACCAAAACATGTGGAAATCATTCACGTGTCGCAAGCCGTCTGAACAAGGGATGAAAGCACATGAAAGCTGAAAGATACTGAAAGCGACTGCAGCCAGTGTTGAACGGGTAGTGTCAAAAACGAGTGAGAAATGAATATTATCTACGTAATTTTCCTTGTGAAAATCAGGTAACACGGTACAGATCCCTGTGATCCTATGATGAAATTAATCAAATTCATCAACGGTATATCATACGTAAATGTATGCAAGAGTTGCATGTTGAATTGCTGCCCACCTAACTAATGGAAAGCGGCTAATCACTGAAAATTAAGAAAAAAGTTGGTAACCACTGGAATATTAGTCTTCCTCATGCTACATGACGGGGACAGTTCTAACACCCTTATTTTTATGAAGTTAATGGTGGAGACGCTAATCTCCATTTCCATAGAATCAGTCACAGTTGCACTGATATGAAAGGCAGATTCGACAGCACCGATATGAGAAGCATACTGTGCATTCCCATTTTTTTTCAAACTCACTTGTATATCAACTTCAGAAGGTACAGTGCCCATTATCGGGGCTCAACTTAAACTCAAAACCTACTGGTCATGAGTAGGACATTCGACCAATCGAGTAATATCGGTTTAAAGCCTCGCGAAATAAATTCATAGCTAAAAGGAATTCATTGTAAAAACAAAATTAATACGTCGCCGGAATCGAACTCGGAACCTCCGGTGCCACAGTTCGAAGCCGATCCCTTCCGTACTGTGCCACTAAGTCATGCCAACCATTAAAAATGAAAAGGAAAGGAAAAGTGAGGGCTTAGTTTCTTCACGATGTCATCATGCAAAACTGCCATCCTTTTCTAAGGGCAGCATATGCTTTAATTTTCGGTCATTATCATTTATGTCCGATACTTGAAGTGAAGCGGCATTTGTCAGATGCCCGCTGAAGAAAAACAAGAGGCAGCGGCTGGAATAACAGTATGTTGGAAGCAACAAAAGACCAAATTCTGTGGCGACCGCCTAGCTGTACATGTTACCTTTACAAAAGTATGGCACTCCTGTCAATTATTAACATGACGATATCAGTCAGGAGTAACAGTTTCGAGCATCTAAATCTACAAAGTCACTAGGAGTACCGTAACTTCTTTGCTAATCACATACTGTTAACTTTACTGAAGCTTTTAATTTGTCTTGCACGGGAATACAACAATGCACATTCTCTTAAGGCACTGAACATAAGTCAAAATGTCTGAAGAATCTGACTCATAGATTTCTCCCGACCAAAGTATGCAACAGAGATTAAACTGCTAACTCAAACTACTGACCTTGGATGCTGTTCCAAAGACATTTTCCCGTTTGATCTTTAAGACTTCATCCTCACCCGAAGAATACGATTCTTCGTCATTCTTGTTCTCTTCGTTAAGAGCGGGTGGAGATGCTATTTCGCGATCAGTTTCTACCCCTGGCCCAAAATGAAGCACATTTCCTGACTGATCTCCGTCTCTTGTAGTCTCCGACTGTTTAGCGTGTTTCTTAAGAAAACGGATTCGAGGTGCATTTGGCAGACCAAACGACCTAAACAGAAAATAATAATGCTATTCTGATATACAGAAAACAACAAAATAACCCAAGTGAACGAATCAAGCATAATACTCTCTGATGAAGGTAAGCTAAATACTCTTTTATATCAAAATAATTTTTCTGACATAAGCTTCTAAAATTTGAA